GGTCGCCCATTGTTTTCTCACTGTGATCATTTCTTGTAATTGTTTATATTTATAATAAGTTTACTATTGTAATCTTTTGCAGGAAACAATAAAGAGTATCTATCTATCTATCTATCTATCAAATCCTTTACAGTCCAAGCTGCTGGTCTCTGGAACTTCCTCCTGAATGATACCAGAACGCCGCAGACCGTCCATGCCTTCAAAGCAAAAAAAAAACTTTACAATACAATTGACAGCTGAATTGCTTATATGAATAATAGTTATTCCACGTTTATATATATTTAGCTATATTTTTTTATACAACATAGAATGGCAAACAAGCTGACCGTCCACCTGATGTAAAGTAGTAACCGTCGCCTATACACATGAGCAGCCTATAGACATGACATAGTATAGTGTTTCGCCCATGATACCCCCCATGCGTTGCCATTCCTGAGGACTCAGGTGTTATTCCTCTGTACCCAGTAAATACACGCCATATCCCACCCTTCAAACCGAAACACAACTGTTTCACAGTTGAAACACGAATGGAAAAGGAGTACCTAACAATCTCTGAAACTGTAAAACTAAAAACTAACTATAAAATAAAATAGGATACTGGGGAAGGGGATTGTTAGTAATGCGGACTACCAGTTCCATTGCTAGCAATATACCCCGTCAGGTCGACCTCCACGTTGCCCCCCCTGGAAACCATCGTGCTGAATTCCTAGTATATTCATCAGGATGGGCTAACTGATCTGCCTTTACATTCTCACCTTTCATTCCTCACTGGTGCTCCGCCAGCGTATACCGTTAGCGCAGGCGGGGTTACCATTCCATTTTTAAATATTAAAAAAAAAACAGATACTATTTATTACATGCCAATATATATATATATATTGGTAGTAATACATATGTATTCCTCTGGCGTTGATCATGCGTACATAAAACATAAATAAATTACCATTTCAAATGTTGCATCCATAAAAAAACTCTCCTCCACACAGCATAATGTCTAAATTTAAATAACACAATGAAATGAAAAAAAAAAACATTTGAAATTTATAAGGGATCGTTTTATGCAATAGTGGAGCAGTCGTCACTATTCACCTATTGACGGCCGTAGATTCGATCCTCGTACAGTTTGTATGTCTATTTGTATTGGTTTGGTGTTTTTTTTTTTATAAATTTTCTACAAAAAGTAAGTATTAATTCTCTATCAATAAGTTTTTTTTTATACAACTTAGAATGGCAAACAAGCTGACGGCCCACCTGATGGAAAGCGGTAACCGTCGCCTATACACATGAGCAGTACCGTGGACATAACAGAGTATACTGTTTCGCCCATGATACCCCCCGTGCATTGCCATTTCTGAGGACTCAATAATCTTTATCAATAATTATAAGTTCTGCTTAGTTTAGAACTAGAGGGCGCTGTGATATTTATTATATCACAGCGCCCTCTAGTATAATATCAATATCATTTATTTACAATTTTATATGTTGTAATGAATAAGTAGTAATGAAACCAAATGACAATTTAAAAATCTAAGTTTACTTAAAATATTTCTTCCTTTCGCGTGTGTATCGTAAGAGATGACCAAGTTTTTTTTTTACAACACAGGGGACAAACGAGCATGCGTCTCACCTGATGGTAAATGACTACCGCCGCCCATGATCACCCACAACACCTATGGTATTGCAGGTGTGCTGCCGGCCTTTTAAAAAGGAATATGCTCTTTTCTTGAAGGTTATGATGTAACATAAGTATATAAGTAACTAAATAATCGAGGGATAGACAGCAGCGTCCCTCTTGAAAATTACCAAAAACATAATTGCGTATGCCAACTAGTGTTGCCAGGTGTCCCGATGTGCGCGAGACGTCCCGATTCTCAGGGGTCTGGGGACGCGTCCCGATTTGTACCTGATCGGGACGCTAAATGTGCCGATTAATGAAAAATATAATATTAATAAAAAAAAATTACATAAATCCTTAGATACTTTATTCTTATATATATTCTTGTATATATATAATTATATGTAAATATTTATTTAAATTTCTGTCTTGCACTACTACTGCCCACTCACTACTTCCTATGCCACTGTAATAGGTTGACTGAAAGAAATCTCTTTTAGCGATAAGTTCGCGTTTGCTAACATTGTTATTAACTTATTGTTGTTACTGTATGTTTTAGTGCAATAAAGAATATATATATATATATATATATATATATATATATATATATATATATATATATATATATATATATATATATATATATATATATATATATATATATATATATATATATATATATATATATATATATATATATATATATATATATATATATATATATATATATATATATATATATATATATATATATATATATATATATATATATATATATATATATATATATATATATATATATATATATATATATATATATATTCTTCTGAAATGCGTCAATTACACTTAAATTACGATTTTGTTTTATAATTTCTACTAGTCTATTAGACTGATTACTTGTTATGTAAGATTAATAGTATATTCATTTATTTTAACATTTATTATATAAATAAATAAGTATTATATGTATTTATAGAGTATGTATTTATGTAATATTTTATTATATATTTTAATATTTTATTTAACTGTATATTTGTTTATGTATTAATAGTTGTAGCACTTCAGCTGCCCGTTAACGACATGCTTCCCAACTGTATCGGGTTGACTGGAAGAGATCTCTGTCAGAGATAAGTCCACCCTTGCTTGCAATATTTATAAATACATTATTTTATATGTAACTTACAAGTGCAATAAAGAATATATATATTAAATTTAGCTAATTAATATAATACTACACTCGCACTAATAGTTTAAAACGCAATAAATTGATCCCAGAGTTAAAAACCCGTTGTTTCTTGTTTACTGTCCCGATCTGCAACCCTGAATCCCGATTTTTTTTGACTTCATGTACCGATTTAAAACAAATCGGAACTAGTAACACTCCGTTACTAACAATCCCTTTCCCCCCGTAATCTTTGATTATATAGAGCATCGAATATCGAAAACAGGCCTACTTTGAGTCAGCTACACGTCAGTTTAACTGGTTGGGTTTTATTCTGGTTGGGTATTCTTTGATATAATATAAATATTGCTTACAAAATAAGATCCTTATTAAACATAATGCAATGCCCTACTTTGTTTTTTTTTATTTTATATTAATAAGTATTTTGTATCGTTTTTATTTTTTAACTGAACTTCACAATGTATGTTTTTTTTTATACAACTTAGAATGGCAAAGAAGCTGACGGTCCACCTGATGGAAAGTGGTAACCGTCGCCTATATACATGAGCAGTACCATGGACATAACAGAGTATACTGTTTCGCCCATGATACCCCCCATGTTGCCATTCCTGAGGACTCAGATGTTATTCCTCTGTACCCAGTAAATTCACTGCCATATCCCACCCTTCAAACCGAAACACAGCCATGCAAACACAACTGCTTCACGGTTGAAACACGAATGGGAATGGGACAGAGGTACCCAAGCAATCGACTTTTGTATAAAGTCTCCTTCTGGTAAAATAGTACTGTATATTTCTTCCACATTTTGAGCAACAACTGTACATTGCGGTATTCCTTTTTACGTACACATGAACAAATCAAATTGCGTTCCTCAATAAAACCGACTTAAATGTGGCATTACCAGTTATTTCAATTTCAAAACTAAACCACTGTACTAATTTTGATAGAATTTCTATGAAATCAATCTGTAAGTATATCCTTTCAGATAAAAAAAGAATTTTTCAAATCGGTTTATAATCTAAGAACAAGGAATTACATAGAGGGAGTGATAAAATTGACAATTCATAGCAGGCTAGTGTATAGAAAATGTTATACGGCCGTATAACCCTACCAAATTCAGATATAACCTGCTTGCATACTTTCTACATAAACTGTGTCGTATATATAATCTAGTAATGTAAAATTTGTCATTGACAAATAATTGACGTATCAAACGTTTTCTAGCCTGCTATGAATTGAGAAAAATTACAACTTATAGTGTATCCTTCGTCCTCTTTTTTCTAATTATATTTGCATAAGAAGAAAGGAGGTGACCATATGATTTACAGTTTTTATTTTATCATTCCTTCTATGTAATTCCTTGTTCTTAGTTATGACGTCACGTACATAAAATATTCAAATTGAAAACTTTTTTCTTTTCTACGTCGTTTGAAAAGTTGACTTATTTTTGGCAGATTATTTGTATAAAGATACAATATATACCTTATATCTTATATATATAAATAAAATTGGCAATAATTATTCTCTTCTACTTCTCGTCTTAATTTATCTGGAATTCTTAAAGAAACTAAAACGAAAATAAACTCAAAAACTACTTATATATACTTTATTGCACTTGTAAATTACATTGTTAATGCATTTATAAATATTGCGAGCATGGGTGGACTTATCTCTGACAGAGATCTCTTCCAGTCAACCCAGTACAGTGAGACAGCATGTCGTTAGCGGGCAGCTGAAGTGCTACAACTATTAATACATAAACAAATATACAGTTAAATAAAATATTAAAATATATAATAAAATATTACATAAATACATACACTATAAATACATATGATACCTGGTTACTTACATAATAAATGTTAAAATAAATGAATATACTACTTACATTAGAAATTTAGTTTAATGGTTGTAAAACTTGACAATTCAATTCGAAAAATGAAAAATTAAGATTATGACTCAAGAGAAAGAAAATGTAATTTCAACTTTTCAACCAATTTTAAAATTATTTCATTAAAGAAAATTAAATTATCAGCGATTTAGTAATATAGGATATATATTATTTTCAAAAATTGTTCATTCACGTGAATCTCGGAAAGCGCTAAACTAATTTAAATTCAATGAAATTTCGTTTACAAAATTTTATATATTTTAATGAAATCTCATTTTCAAAATTTCATTATTTATAGTATTGTTTTGCTTCATCATGAAAGAGAGGGTAGTTTTTTGTCTCAATAAAAGAAGATGCAGGCAACAGGGAACGAAACAACGTTTGCCGGGTCGTCGGGTCATACATAATATGAATGCGCGCGAAAAACATAACCTCAAATTGGCAAATTAAATAAACCTAATGCTACACTCCTGCAGAACTACGTTCTGTATATAAAGCCAAGTACACATTCAGGATACTCAGTGCAAACATTGACGCGGCCGGGTTCGGGTCATTATTGAGATTCCATAAAATAGAAACGAACTGTGATGGATTGATATTGCCGGTAAGTTTGTTTGTATACTTTTTTTTTTTCTTTACTATTTTATTAAGCCAAGGTCACGATTTTTTATTTTTTTTTATTGTAAATTAAAAAGTGAGGTTAGTTGTTTATTTGATTGTTTATATATTTTTTTTTGATTAATCAAAGATAATGTGTTTTTTTTTTTTAATATTTTAATATGAAATATTTAAGAACGTTCTTGAAAATAATATGAACCTGTGTTTGTTTATTTGTTATCTCTTTCGTTTCTACTCAAAGTTAACTTAAGCTCATCATATCAGCCATTAACTGTCTACTGAACATGGTCTCCCCCCCCATAGGGGGGTTTTACCAGTAGTTGCAACGCTTAGCAGGCGAGTTGGCAACCGCAGTTAGGCTGTGATATTGTTTTAAGAGAAACACTGCTGCCCATCCTTCGACCATGTTCCCTTAGTCGCCTATTACGACACCCACGGGAAAGGAAAAGTGTCTCAATCTACGCCGGGACCACACTACATCCATGTGACCTAGTTAAATTGATTTATTAATAAATCATAACCTAGTTATGTCTTCTGCTTATTGTTTGAAAAAAAAACAAGCTGATTCTCTTACCTGCTCTTCTCAACTGAAATTCCATTCCGAACTGGATTTATAAATAATTAAGTTTATGTTCCACAAACAAATCCTACTTCAGTTGTGGCAACACCAATAATTTTTATTTCGGGTTTTTTTTTATACAACTTAGAATGACAAACAAGCTGACGGCCCACCTGATGGAAAGTGGTAACCGTCGCCTATAGACATGTGCAGTACCGTGGACATAACAGAGTGTACTGTTTCGCCCATGATACCCCCCATGCGTTGCCATTCCTGAGGACTCAAGTGTTATTCCTCTGTACCCAGTAAATTCACGCCATATCCCACCTTCAAACCGAAACACTGCCATGCAAACACAACTGCTTCACGGTTGAAACACGAATGGGACAGAGGTACCCAAGCAATCGACTTTTGTACAAAGTCTCCCTCTGGTGCTGCGGCAGTGACAGCGGAAACAATAAAGAGGCGTAAATACTCACATCTGGAGGGGTCTTATTGTTTTCTGCCATTTGCTGTAGAGACGATGGGCCCGTGGGGCCAGATGCCAATGCAAAGAATTTTTTCTGCACGACAAACAGCGCGCCTCATCGAGGTTACTGGTGACCCGAGAGCTGGTAGCTACTTTTCGTAAAAGATAAGTTTAGATATCCAAAGAGATAATGCTGCCAGTATCTAGGGTACGCTGCCTCGGTGTGGTGCGTTGGGAGATTACTTATAATTTTTTTTTATGGGTAAAAATGGAATGGTAACCCCGCCTGCGCTAACGGGATACGCTGACGGAGCACCAGTAAAGGGTGATACATGAGAATGAAAACAGGCCAGTTAGCCCATCATGATGAATTCATCAGGAATTAGTCATGATAGTTTCCAGGGGGAACCGCGAGGATGTCGACCTGGTTGGATATATTGCTAGCAATGGGATTCTTAGTCTCCATTATTAACAATCCCTTTCCCCCCTGATTACTTATAATTAGTATTAGTATTTAAGGAATCGTATATTAACATTAATTTATTGATGTATTGTACAATTGAATAAATTTTACAATTACCCAACAGATTTCGATAACATTTCTATGGAACTAATTTGAAAATGTATCCTTTCGGATAAAAAAAAAAAACAATTTCCCAAATCGGTTAACAACTGAGAAGTTGTGAGGTTACTTCGTAACTCTGTCAGTCAAACGAAAAAAAAAAAACACAATTGTATTGAGAACATGCCTATTTTTAAAATTGGTTTCTTATTTATTTATTTATTCATTCAGGCACAGCAACAGTAATACAATTCACATTACATTGACTATAATAAACTTTATTAGTTATAAAGTTTTAAAATTGTACACCGTTAATTGCTATGCACAGCGTTTTTTTTTTTTTTGATGGGTGAAAATGGTATGGTAACCCCGCCTGCACTAACGGGATACGCTGGCGGAGCACCTTCACTGGTTCGTAGCACGTTCTCTGGCATCGTAATCAAGATTTTGTAAATATCGTTGTACCCTATGTTTAGCTTCCGCATTGGTAAGACCATCCAGTTTGCAGAGATTATTAAGTAATCTATTAATATAAATTTAAGTAATATATATATATATATATATATATATATATATATATATATATATATATATATAATATTTAATATATAATTGTTCTCATTTTATATTGTTATTGTATATAATATTGGAACTAGTATAAGCTAACGCTGTGCGTATGGGGGGAAAGGGATTGTTAGTAATGGACACTGAGAATCCCATTGCTAGCAATATACCCAACCAGGTCGCCCTCCTCGCGGTTCCCCCTGGAAACTATCATGGTTAATTCCTGATGAATTCATCATGATGGGCTAACTGGTCTGTTTTCATCCTCATCTATCACCCTTCACCGGTGCTCTGCCAGCGTATCCCGTTACCATACCATTTTCACCATAAAAAAAAAGAACTTTATTCATATATACTTTATTGCACTTGTAAATTACATTGTTAATGCATTTATAAATGTTGTGAGCAAGGCTGGACTTATCTCTGACAGAGATCTCTTCCAGTCAACCCGATACTTTTTACATGTGCAAAAATTTTAAAATCAGTTAAATAGTTTATCCACTACAAACAAACAATCGAACATTTCCTTCTTATAATATTAGTAGGCGACGTGCTGAAGATGGGCCAAATTAAAAGTACCCGTAACCGGCGAGCGTGTATGAAAAGATTGATGAATGTGGAGGAAGCGAAAGAGGTCTGTTTGAATCGAAGCATTTGGCGTTCCATTGTTTCTGCCTACCCTAATGGGAGGCAGGCGTGACAGATATGTATGTATGTATGTATGTAATATTAGTATCTATAGATGAATGTTGCCGTGTGGTCCCGGCATCGAATGGAACACCTTTTCCTTTCCCGCGGATGTCGTAAGAGACGACTAAGGAACGGCAAAGGATGGGCAGCGGCGTCTCTTTTAAAACATTAAAACCTATCTACGGTTGCCAACCCGCCTCCCAATAGTTAACGGCTGATATCATCGACATCATATCAGCTCTTTTTTTTTTTTTTTGTTTGCGGTGCAATATTTAAGGCCGTCCTTTGCTGCATGTAGCCTCCCCCCTCCCTGTAGAGGGTTGTGCCAGTAGTTGCCACGTTTGGCAGGCGGGTTGGCAACCGCAGTTAGGTTTTAGAGATATTTTAAGAGGGACACTGCTGCCCATCCCTCGCCCTCCCGTAGTCGCTTACGACACCCACGGGAAAGGAAGCGGTGGTCTATTCTATGCCGGGACCACACGGCCAACGGCTGATATGGTAATAATGATGAAATCCTTCTTCACCCCATAAAGCACGTGTATGAACTTCATAATGATTCATTAAGCCATTAAAACAGTATACGGTAACAACCAAACTTTCACATTTAAAAGTAGAAGGATTAAAAAAAAAAGTTCAACTATGACATGGCGCCAAAACACAAGCATTATTATATTCGTAAGATTTGTTTTTCGTATCAACCTTGTTCGCGTGCACACACTATGTTACATTATCTAGGTCATACACACATAGCAACTGATCATACTGCGTTTTGACACTGACATTGAATTTATTGTCAACTTTTAGGGTTCCGTATCGAAAGGTTTTAGACAACTCGATAAATTTGTATGGAAATCATAGCAGCGCCACTAGCGGACGGTTTTGGAAACTCAAATGTTTGTCATTGTCTTTTTAGCTACTGCATAACATAGGCCTCACCTATTGGGGAGTTTTGCCAGTATTTGCCACGCTTGGCAGGCGGGTTGGCAACCACAGTTAGGTTTCAATGTTTTAAGATATACACTGATGCCAATCTCACGACCATTTCCTTTAGTTACTTCTTACGATACTAACAGGAAACGGGTGGTCCATTCTATGCCGGGACCACACGACAGATGTCGATACAGAATGAATATCTTTGTACAACTCACAGTTAACGTTGCGATACAAAGAATAAATAAACGGCGCAGGCATGACTCTAATGCCTCGATTACACAATAAGCTAAGATTTTGTTCCACAAAAGGTCGGCAATACGCGTCTAATGCCCCTGGCATTGCAGGAGTTCATAGGCTACGGTAACTGCTTTCCATAAGGTGGGCCGTATGCTACCTATTATTATTAACATCGACTTCAGTCGTGAATCAATTATTTTGATTTAAAATTTCATTTTTGAACTGATTTTGATTAAATTTCTACGAAAGCAATCTGAAAGTAAATCATTAAAAAAAAAACTTTCCTAATTGCTTTGTAAATGACAGAATTCTAATGATAACAAATATATAAAAAAAATCTGTCTGTATATTTGTTTCTTCATGAAAAAAACTACTGCACCAATTTAGATGCGGCTTTCACTGTTGTATTCCTGATGATCTAATTTAAAATCTAGTACATGTTTCGTCTTAAAACGTCATCTATAAGTGGTTTGTGTCATTAGTTTTCCTACTTCTGAAATCCACGTGAACGAAGTAGCGGGTTAAAAGCTAGTATCATGTAATTTTACCGATACGATGTATGCAAAATGTATGCAATTGTATGGAGATTCTTTTAAATTTCCTTGCTCGTTCACGATACTATTCGTAGATTTTTTATAATCCCAATACTATATTTAAGACATCCCGTCCTCGCTATTGGATACGAGTGACGGGATGCCTATAATAGTAGGTAAATCAATATTTTAAGTGCGTTATTTGAGGAGCATGAGGAAGGTGGATGGAAGGCCGGAGACTGCAACAAACGATCGGCCTCCGAACTGGCGACCTCCGCCGTCTATCGGTCCCCAATTCAAGAGACAACCGATCGCCGGCTTTAATATACATATAACGCAGGGCGCCTTTTGAAGGTTGTTGTGCCTTCAAAATTCTGTGGTTGTGTTTCAAATATTGCGTTAAAAAGATTCGCTTTATATTAAACGAGTCTCCATTCAACCCCATACATTTTCTCTGATCTAATCTTTCCTCTGCAATTTATAAAAGCGCCCTCTACAATTCGTAATAAAATTAAAACAAAACTTTTATATTATACGGAACCTTGTTTTATTTATACTGAACAATCCAATTATTCAACTAGGTAAAGGTATTTAATTTGATTTTGACAGTTCAGTGTATTAGAAGTTTTACCTATTACGTTTTATCTGTGTACTAAGATTGTAAATAATTAAAATAATAATTAATAATAGTTTGTAATTGTAAAATAGGATTAATTTACACAAAAGAAGTTTACGTACCGGCAACGTGAGTACATTATGTTAAGTCTGTAGTTCGAGCACATATAATCTAACCTAAAAATTGCATTTATATTTTTTTTAAATTTTAGCCAGATACCATCGGCGAATGAGCATAGATAGATACAATAATAATACCAGAGACATAAAGTGAGAATGATGCATATCTTTTTCTGTGGTTTGTGACGTAACGACGATACTAAACACAAATAATTTTAGCGGGAATAATAGTTTTTTTTTTTTTTAATAGTGCATGCAAAATGCTGGTTAAGACAATACACTTAAATATTGACACATTTAATTCTCTATGATATTAGTTGAGTTTTTATTTGTATTTTTTTTTACATAAATACTGTCCACCAGAGGGACATTTTGTGCAAAAATTGATTGCTTGGGTACCTCTGTCTTATTTGTGTTTCTACCATGGAGCAATTGTGGTTGCATAGCTATGTTTCGGTTTGAACAATGGTATATGGCAGTGAATTTATAGGATATGAGGAAGAACACCTGAGTCCTCAGGAATGGCAACGCGTGGGGGGTATCATGGGCGAAACAGTATACTCTGTTATGTCCATGGTACTATAGGTGACGGTTACCACTTTCCATCAGGTGGGCCGTCAGCCTGTTTGCCATTCTAAGTTACATAAATAAAACCCTTCTATTCATAAAAAATAAAACCAAATATATTTTAATAATTAAATACAAAGAAAGATTTCATGTTTTAATAATAATAATAATATACTTTATTATTCCGACTACAATTTGGTCCTTTTTGTTAGCAACAGTTTTCTTACAAACTATGTTAGCAAAAAAGACAAGCAAATTAATTAAAGCAGTTCACTCTGTTGTGAGCCAGCCGACTAGAACAGCATCTGAATGAAATGTCCAATTATAGGCGAGTTATATTTCCCGCCTATTACTTTTAGAATGCTGTCGGTGCTTGTCCTAACTCTGTGCAGCAATGATGCAGTCCTCTTTCTCCTTATAGCGTAGTAATCATTTACGCGAGATTGAGCAAACATGCTGGAGGCGCTACAAAAGCAAACTAGCCCCAACAGCACTCTAAAACTATTATTGTACTGGATTCGTAGGGCACTGAGTGAGGCCTGTGTACAGTTGACCCGCAGGCTGCTCGTGTAGAATGTTTGGCAGTAAAAAAATTTTTTATCCTTTTATTTCAGATACAATAAACAAACGATATGACGTGTGCAACAACATCAGAAGTGAAACAGTTTCCGGAAGAGTTCACGTTGTCGAAATGTCACGACGCCATCTTCAATTCGGAATTTAAAAATGACATTTTACTTTTTTATTTGAACACAACGTACAGAGCGTTGGTTACAGCTGCCGAGTTGCTGCGACAAAATACTATATTTGTATTTATTTCTGTGATATTAGTATTAATAATATATATAATTTATAAATCTTTTTGGAATCCAATACTGTATACAAAGGTATGTTTCATCATCAAGATCAGCCTTTAACTGTCCACTGCTGGACGTAAGCCTCCCTCTTAGGGGGTTTTGCCAGTAGTTGCCATACTTGGCAGGCGGATTGGCAATCGCAGTTAGCCTTTAAAGATGTTTTAAGAGGGATACTGCTGCCCATTGCCCTCTTACGACACCTACAGGAAAGGAAGGGGTGGCCTATTCTATGCCGGGACCACATAGCTTAATATCATTATAATATCGACGTTTAACTGTCCCCTACTGAATATAAGCCTTCGTTTTTTTTTTGGGGGGGGGGGGGATTTGAATTAATTTAAAAGTAGTGTAGTTATTTTAGTTTCTATTAGTTAGTAAATTATTTGTTTATTACAATAAATGCTACAAATATTATAATAGTGAAATTATGTAAATATGTTTTTATGTTTGTTACACTTAAACGGCTGAACAGATTTTAATGAAATTTACTATACGAGTTGGTTATATTCCAACTTAGCACATAGCATACTTTATATACTAATGCACACGAACAAAGTCACGGGAGAAAGCTAATTACAAAAGTCAGAATGTAAATTGATGTTAAAGATGGAAGAAAAAAAGAAGGGGCCAGTGTTCTTACTACTAGCATGATTTAGTGTTGCCATATAAAATTCTGCATGTGGTGATTTTCTTCTTTTTTTTTTCTCAATGGCAATCGGTCGCCATTATTACGGCCATTTCTGCCAGTGTCTAGAACTCCAGAGTCTAAGAGGCTCGTAACTTGAAAATAATTATATTTCCATAAGTAATATTCAAAACACAGTATAATCATAATAAACATGTTAGAAATTAAAGAAAACATTTTTCTGCCAGCCATTTCCCGCCATAACGCTCCACAATATCTGTGGTGTTGCCAACTATGAAATTAAAATGGTGTTGCCACATATATAATGATTTGTTTCTCTTTTAGGAACTGACGGAAATAGGCTTCGAACACATAAAATCTGGTCCCGACAGGGCCCTGCGTATCGCTCGAGCTCAGAATGCCAGGCGTCTGGGGTCTAAAGTACCACCTCCATACCCCAACGGCTGGTTTGCGATCGTCGAGAGCTCAAACTTACAGATTGGCGGGGTCACTCCTGTCGATGCTTTAGGTAAGGTTTTTTTTATACCACTGATGTGGCAAACAAGCATACGGCCCACCTGATGGTAAGCGGTTACCGTAGCCTATGAACGCCTGCAATACCAGAGGTATTACGCATGCGTTGCCGACCCAGAAGAAACCTCTTACCCCCTTAAGGTTTTTTTTTTATAGTATTTTACAAGTAATGGTAAATAAATGTTTTGTAAACATATATTTTAATTAATATTTACCAGAGGGAGACTTTGTACAAAAGTCGATTGCTTGGGTACCTCTGTCCCATTCGTGTTTCAACCGTGAAGCAGTTGTGTTTGCATGGCTGTGTTTCGGTTTGAAGGGTGGGATATGGCAGTGAATTTACTGGGTACAGAGGTATAACACCTGAGTCCTCGGGAATGGCAGCGCATGGCGGGTATCATGGGCGAAACAGTATACTCTGTTATGTCCACGATACTGCTCATGTCTATAGGTGACGATTACCACTTTCCATCAGGTGGGCCGGCAGCTTGTTTGCCATTCTAAGTATATATATAGGAGAGAGAAAAAATCGGTCCAAGCATTTTTTAAGATTATTTATAACATACAAACATTCAAATATTTCTTATTTCTAATATTAATATAAATAACAGGAAAACTTACAGCTAATTTGAGAAATACATTCCATATAAAGTTGAAAGTAAATTTCAAGTTTTTATAAAGGGCGAGAGATGGGCAGCAGCGTCCCTCTTAAAACATCTCTAAAAGCCTAACTGCGCCTGCCAAGCGTAGCAACTACTGATATTCCCTTATGGTTATATTAGATATTTCATCATCGTCATCATCATGCCAGCCTTTAACTGTCCACTGTTGGACATAAGCCTCCCCCTAGATTTTGCCAGTTGATGCTACGCTTGGCAGGTGGATTGGCAATCGCAGTTAAGCTTTCGATAGATAGATAGATACTCTTTATCGTTTCCTCCAAAAGATTACAATAGTAAACTTATTATAAATATAAACAATTACAAGAAATAATCACAGTGAGAAAACAATGGGCGACCTTATGAGATGTTTTAAGACAGACGCTGATGTCTATCCCTCGCTATCCTTTAGTCGCCTCTTACGACACCCACGGGAAAGGAAGGAATGGCTTATTCTATGCCGGGACCACACGGCCAGTGAATTTGTTTCATTATACTATATTATATTAATTAATGTAAATTTAATTCTAGGTCAAAATCTATGCGTTTACCGCGGTGAAGACGGGGTTGCCAGATGTGTGGACGCGTACTGTCCCCACTTGGGGGCGAATCTCGCTGTGGGGGGCAACGTTTGTGGGAACTGCATAGAATGCCCATTCCACAAGTGGAGGTTTGGAGAAGATGGCTCGTGCGTTAGTGTACCAGGCCTTGAACATGGTAAATGGACAGAAAAATAATTATATGCATATTTGTTTATTTAAACTTTAATGTACAATTTTTTTTTTTATACAACTTAGAATGGCAAACAAGCTGACGGCCCACCTGATGGAAAGTGGTCACCGTCGCCTATAGACATGAGCAGTACCATGGACATAACAGAGTATACTGTTTCGCCCATGATACCCCCCATGCGTTGCCATTCCTGAGGACTCAGGTGTTATTCCTCTGTACCCTGTAAATTCACGCCATATCCCACCCTTCAAACCCAAACACAGCCATGCAAACACAACTGCTTCACGGTAGAAACACGAATGGAACAGAGGTGTCTAAGTAAACGACTTTTGTACAAAGTCCCTCTAGTGAGTTATTTGATGGGTGATAATGGTATGGTAACCCCGCCTGCGCTAACGGGATACGCTGGCGGAGCACCAGTGAAGGGTGATAGATGAGAATGAAAACAGGCCAGTTAGCGCATCATGATGAATTCATCAGGAATTAACCATGATAGTTTCTAGGAGGAACCGCGGGGAGGTGGACCTGGTTGGGTATATTGCTAGTAATGGGATTCTCAGTCTCCATTACTAACAATCCCTTTCCTCCATCCCTCCCCCCCTCTGGTGAGTCTTACTAATTAGTAGTACGGTTAATTCCTTTTGAATTCATATCTATCTGTTTATCCATCCAAAGGTTGGCTGCAAGAGATCGCTCTTAGCGATAAGGTCGCCCATTGTTTTCTCACTGTGATCATTTCTTGTAATTGTTTATATTTATAATAGGTTTACTATTGTAATCATTTGGAGGAAACAATAAAGAGTATCTATCTATCGACTGACCAGCTTTCATCCTCACCAATCACTGGTTACCATTTTTTCACCCATTCAAAAATACCTTCTTAGCTCCTCGAGGGATCTCCATCAAGACCTGGCCAACAGTGGAAGCTGACGGCGCTGTGTGGATCTGGCATGATGCCGAGGGCCGGGAGCCGCTCTGGGGACTGGAAGATGCACCGGAAGTGAAGAAATGGGGATATAGGGGGAGGAACGAATTCATCATCAGTGCTCATATACAGGTTGGTCGTTAGCTAATCATCCTAAGCCAGCTGAGGACATTTTAGCCACTTTTCAACCGACGTTAAAGAGAGCATATTCCTTTTTAAAAGGCCGGCAACACGCCTGCAATGCCTCTGGTAGGGGGGAAAGGGATTGTTAGTAATGGAGACTGAGAATTCCATTGCTAGTAATGTACTCTATCAGGTACATACACACAAAAATACAAATGTTTCCTCTATATAATATTAGTATATATATATATATATATATATATATATATATATATATATATATATATATATATATATATATATATATATATATATATATATATATATATATATATATATATATATATATATATATATATATATATATATATATATATATATATATATATATATATATATATATAAATAATATAATTATTCTCCAAACAAAGTCTCTTATAGAAAGACGTCAAGTCCCAGCAGTGGAACGTTAATTAAATGCCGTGATGATGCTCCAATTCGCAGGAGATTCCAGAGAACGGTGCCGACGTGGCCCACCTCAATGCTGTCCACGCGCCGTCACTCTTGTCGCAGTTGGGCGAGAAGTATCCAATCCTTCTCAACTTCATAGGTACATGTCTCAGTTTGTTCTTAATTAATTTATTTATCACTAGCGGCCCGTCCCGGCGTCGCACGGGTGGACATTTTTAACATTTCCCTTCACTGCTCTGCTCCTATTGATCGTAGCGTGATGAAAAGTATACATAGAATAGATAGAAAGTGGTAACCGTCGCCTATAGACATGAGCAGTACCAAGCACATAACAGAGTATACTGTTTAGCTCATGACCATCTATGCGTTGCCATTCCTGAGGACTCAGGTATTATTCCTATGAACCCTGTAAATTCACTGCCGTATTTCATCATTTAAACCAAAACACAGCTATACAAACACAACTGCTTCTCGCCAAAAACACGAATGGAACAGAGGTGCCCAAGCAAACGACGTTTGTACAAAGTCTCCGTCTGGTAAATATTCCCTTATGATACCCAAGAGAAAGGAAGGTGTGGCCTATTCTATGCCGGGACCACACGGCACGGTTAAGTTATACCTACTGTAAAACAGAAATATTATCCAGGCAGGCACGTGTGGGCCGCAGACTGGTCCAGAAACGATGACCATACCGCAACCATGAGTTTGACGCACGACTACAAGATAATGAAGCTGAACTTGTTTCACGTGGGCGTGTCTGTGACTCAGGTAAATATAATTATTATTATTCCAGCCGTTAACTGTCCACTGTTGGACATAAGCCTTCCCCATAAAGGGAGTTTTGCCAGTAGCTGCCACGCTTGGCTGGCGGTTTGCTAGTTAGGCCTTTGTAATGTTTTAAGGGGGACGCTACTGCCTATTCCTCGCCTTCTCTTAGTCGACTCTTACGACGCCCACGGGAAAAAAGGAGTGGCTTATTTTATGCCGGCACACACACGGCGCAGGTAAATATAAATTGGCTATTAATTTCTAATTAAATTGTGGACAATACCAAGTAAAAAACAAAATTTTGACAATCTTCGTTGCACAGTGGTGGACAAATTGCCTTATGAGATCTTAGGTCGGTCAAATTTGGAATACGAGCTTTTCTGAATTGTCTCGGGTCTGGTAACCCCGCCTGCCCTATCAGTATACGCTAGCAAGGTACCAGTATAAGATAATAGGTGAGGACTTCCTTTAAATAACACTTGATTCAGTAAAAGAGATTCAGCGCCATCTATCTGTGAATAGTTATATTAATAAAACGAATTGATATTTTATTATTCCTTTACAGATCGGTCCAGGTCACGTCCGTCTATATTTACAGACGCCGGGAGGACCTATCTTGGTGTCACAGTCAGTGACGCCCATAGGTCCTCTACTTCAAAAGGTGGTGCATAGACTGTATTCGCCAACCTACAACGCGCCCGTAGGGGGCATGTTCGTGAAAATCGAAAGTTACATGGTTAGTAGTGCCATCTTTTGTTAAGTAGTTGTGTAAGTTTCGTTATAAAATAGCTAGAACTTTTTTGTTTCGGCGCGAAAATGCTGTTTTGAGTTTATTTATACTTAGCTTATTATTTAAATAACAATCTTGGTATATTTTGTCCAAAATAATGAGTGAAATTATACATTTGGCGTTCCATTGTTTCTGCCTACCTTAATGGGAGACAGGCGTGACAGATATGTATGTAAATCATACAAGTTTTGTGCTAATACACAATTATTGTAGATTATTTTTTATTTTTATATATCTTTCAATAGTTATTTTATTTAAACACAATTGTATATTGTGTAAAGTCTCTAATATAATCTCTGCTTATTTTTTTTTCCAGTTCGAACGCGACGTTGCCATTTGGAATAATAAGCGGTTTGTTAGCTCACCAACATACGTACGGACGGACAAACAGATAAAGGCGTTCCGCAGTTGGTTCTCGCAGTTTTACAGTGAGCGCAGTTTGACATTTAGAGATGCCATTCAAAATAAACTGGATTGGTGAAATTGTGATAGTATTGAAATTTCGTTATTTTTAACGAGGAGTTAAAAAATAACAAAAAAATATTGTAATAATAAAATTTGTGAGAAATATACGTGTATGTATTCATAAAGACAAATGTGCCTTAGTTCTAGATATATCATTATTACAGCCGTTTACTGTCCACTGCTGGACATAAACCTTCCCGGTAGGGGAATTTTTCCAGTAGTTGCTACGCTTGGCAGGCGAATTGGCAACTGTAGTTAGGTTTATAGAGATATTTTAAGAGAGACGCTGCTGCCCGTCTCTCGCCCTCCCTCAGTCGCCTCTTACGACACCCACGGGAAAGGAAGGGGTGGCCTATTCTATGCTGGAACCACACGGACGTTAGATATATAGTATATACATATTATTAGTATAAAAAGCCATTTCCTACGAGTTAAGTATCTTTTTTATTATTTCTGAAAATGTCGCGACTTCATTTGTAATTACAAATAATTTATTGTTTTTAATTAATAAAAATTGTTCTCTATCGTAATTTTTATGTACTAATTTGGTAAAATTGATTTATGTATTTTTTTTAAGAAAAATTTAATGTAAGTTATGTGTCGTATCAAATGAAATGAAAATGACTAAATTTTACAAACTTTTAACTTAGAAATTAGAAATAAATTAATAATTTTAAATCTTATATTCAATGTATAAATTTAAAAGAAAAATACAGGTTAAACTTTTCCTATTAGTATTTAATTTTGCGGAAAGTACGTGTGTAATTGATTATTAAATAGCTATTTTAAGATATGTGTAATTATTGATTTAACTGTGGTAAAAACAATAAAACAAGTTTTTGTTTTATAATATTTACTTTTATTTCCCCATTGACTAGAAAATGTTAATTTACCCCTGATAACCAATTAACAAAAAATACAAAAATTCTTACAAAAAAACCAATTGATAATTGAGAGCGCGCTCAGTCCACTTTTCACAAGTTCCGACATCATTAATCTTTAATATTTACAGCGCCATCTATCCTTGAGTAGTCTCATTAGTATACAAAAGTTTAAACAATCTCACTTGAATGTATTTGAATATTTACATAGGTGTCTCAAATTATTGTCAGGAAACTCCATTTCAATGCTTTTATAAGCAACGTTATAGAATTTTAATAAATACAAACACAAAATCATAAAATATATCAAATTTAATAAGTGTTGCCGAATGTAATATTCTAAGGCTAGATCCACACTATAATGCTGGTGTCAGTTTGCTGTTGGTCTTACTTCAGTCTAGTAAAATTTTATTACTTGAGAAACTATGTATCCACACTACAATCCAGTCTCATTTTGATCAATCTCAAACCGTTTGTATTGACTATACCGAGAGCGAACAGAGGCCAACATTATAGTCCGAATCGATGGTTACAATAATTCAGTACAGCGCCATCTATTATTGAGCAGCTATTGCATTATTTAACAGATTCAATAATAAGATTTAAGACAAAAATATTTGTAAATTGCATACATTTCTTATAATTAGGAATTATAATTGGATTCCGCAAGAAAGCGACTTAAATTATAAGATAAAACAGTCATTTTGATAGTAATCGGTTGTTATACAGAGTTGAATACAGTGTTAAATTTTTTTTTTCGTTACATAATTGTTTTCCGAGCGTACGGAGTAGGCGTTTTATTTAAAAAAAAAAATCGTAAACAAAAATAGTATGTAATTTATTTTTAACCAACTAAAAAAAAAACAAAGTAGTTCAGATAAAAATTTTCCAAATCGGTTTACAACTGACGGAGTCATGAGGTACCCAAGATTAGAAAAAAACCAACTCGTTTAAGAACTACCTCTTTTTGAAATCGGTTGAAAATACATTTTTTTTTTATACAACTTAGAATGGCAAACAAGCTGACAGCCCACCTGATGGAAAGTGGTAACCGTCGCCTATACACATGAGCAGTACCGTGGACATAACAGAGTATACTGTTTCGCCCACGATACCCCCCATGCGTTGCCATTCCTGAGGACTCAGGTGTTATTCCTCTGTACCCTGTAAATTCACGCCATCCACAAATAAATTCACAAATTAACAATAACAAATTCCTATTAATCTAATTCATGCCGGCTGATTTAAATTCGACGTAATCGATAAAACCATCTTTATTCACATCCGCCTGTTTCAGCGCCCCCTCGACGATCTCCTCCAAATCCGCGTCCTTGTATATGACTGCTGAATCTATTTCCACACCATTGGAACCTAGAAATACAATAAAATTTATAATAATACATTTTTTTTTATTGGATGAAAATTGAATGGTAACCATGTTGCGCTAACGGTTGGGTATATTGCTAGCAATGGGATTTTTAGTCTCCATTACTTACAATCCCTTTCCCCCTATAATAATACATTTTTTTCATGGATGATAATGGACTGGTAAAATTTACATTTACATATGTTCACGATGGTTTCCAATAATGTGGCAAACAAGCTGACGGCCCAACTGATGTAAAGTGGTAACCATGATACCCCCCATGCGTTGCCATTCCTGAGGACTCAGGTGTTATTCCTCTGTACCCAGTAAATTCACGCCACATCCCACCCTTCAAACCCACAGCCATGCAAACATAACTACATTATGAATAATAATTGTTCCTGAAGAAAAAGAGTTAATTTGACTAGATTTTAATTATATGTTAAATTTTACGTTCAATTGTTTCTTTAATTAATTTTATTGTAGTTTTTAGTTAACTATAATGAAACTGCATCTCATTCATGTTGTCTTAACACGTTTTAGGATATTAATCTTGTCTTATGACCATAACTAAGAACAAGGAATTACAATATTATTAAACTGTAAATCATATGGTCGCCTCCTTTCTTCTTATGCAAATATAATTAGTCTCAAAAGATACACCGTCAGTTGCTATTTTCTCAATTCATAGCAGGCTAGTGTAGAGAGAATGTGTCAATTATTTGCATGACAAATATTACATTACTAGATTATATATACGACACAGTTTATGTAGTAAGTGTGCAAGCAGGTTGTATCTGAATTTGGTAGGGTTATACGGCCGTATAACATTTTCTATGTTTCCTTGTTCTTAAGTATATGTAAGTACATTTTTTAATGTAATTTATAGTTTTTTTTTTCAAATAAATAAAATGTATAAACACACCGACTACAATGGTCACTAAAAGAGTTAATTTGATTTAAAAACTAAACTATTGAAGCGATTTTAATAAAATTTCTACGAGACCAATCTTGTAAGTATATATTTTCAGATAAAAAAAATCCGAATTCGGTTTACAACTGACGGAGTTAACAGGTAACAGACATAAAAAAAAAGAAAAAAAAATAAAACCAATTTAGAAACCTTTTAGAGTAGTGTGAGTTACTAAAGCTAATTGCGGTTGCCGGGGGAAAGGGATTGTTATTAATGGAGACAGTATTGCCATATTATACATATTAGTATAGAAATATAATATAATTCCTGATGAATTCATAGTTCTACGGGCTAATCATGGCGATGATTCTCATCTATCACCCTTCACTGGTGTCCGTATTAACAGGCGAAGGTTAAAGATTTTCAAGAAAAAACTGCGGCGCCACTGTAACTTCCAAATAAAACTTTAATAGCTTTTTTTTGTCCATATACAACTTAGAATGACAAACAATGATGATTTTTCTTGTCTAATCTATCATACTGATTAATAAACTTGAATAATTATTAAATAAATAAGTGATAACTTGGCAATATATCGTCATAGTCGTAGAATACTGACGGATCTGACAAATATTACGTATAAAGATCCGTCAGTATTCTACCACTATGACGATATTAGCCAATTCGAAACCAATTTTGACTCATATATCTCAAGCATTAGACATTTTAACATTCTATAAGATTTACTTGTGTATTTTTATTCAAATATTTGGTAATCTGTGCTTAAAGTTTTATAATAATAAAAAAAAAACTATAAACTCACCGTTTACTTCCGTTTCCTGTAATGGCTCAAAGATATATGTAAATTAGAAACAAATGTCGTTTTTATAATTTTATTTAAACAGGAAATAATAAAACAATAACATAATTATTTACTTTAACTTAAAAGATATTCATTAATAAATGACACACAATACATACGGGAGGCAGATGTAATAAAAAAAAAAAAAATTATATAAAACTTATAGATAATTTATTTTTTTTTTTTACTTACAACATAAATAACAACAGCTGACGGCACAGTAATGGAAAGTGGTAACCGTTTGCCATTCTAAGTAATAAAAGAGATAAAAGAAATAAAAGCATATACAAAAAAAAAAGAAACCTATATAAAACAAGTAACAAATTTTTTTTTCATGCATGTGCCATTCACAAAATGGTCACTCAGGTGTTATTCCTTTGTACCCTGTAAATTCACTGATATATCCCACATATTTAGTCTGATAGCTTACTATCCAAAGTATTAATAAATTAAAAAGTTGTTCTTTATATACATATATTAAAAGAAAAAAAAACATTGTACGGTTGCCCTGGTTAATTAATAACAATAATCTATTTTTTTTTTTAAATTTTGTTGGTGGATAAATATTTTTTTTATAACACGAGTATGCGGCTCACCTGATGGTAAGTGACTACCGCCGCCCATGATCACCCACAACACCAGTAGCATTGCAGGTGTGCTGCCGGCCTTTTAAAAAGGAATATGCTCTTTTCTTGAAGGTTATGTTGTCGTATCGATTCGGAAATACTGTTGCTGGAAGTTGATTCCAAAGAGTGGTTGTGCGTGGGAGAGAGTGCCTTGAAAAACGCACGGTGGAGGACCGCCACTCGTCCAGATGGTTGGGATGGAACTTTGATATTATAATAATAACGAAGTAGTTGCTTACTGATTGTTCATGCAACAAAAAATATATAGGAATGGAAGGAGTTCATGTTTAAATAAACGCATAGATATTACGTACGTACCTCAAGATGGAGCATTCAGTATTAAAAAACGCAATAAAAATATAATCATTCACACTCTACAGTAATTTTTGGCTGACGCATATTTTTTTAAATAACACTAAACGTAAATTTTTTATATATTGCAAGTTTTGTTTTTTAATTTCTTTATTTTCCATAATTTATGATCGATACATACAAAATTTAATCTAAAAATGTACCAAGTAGATCTTTACTGTTAAATAAGTTATTTTAGCGTTTAATCTTCTGTCAGATATAAACGTGATTATATTGTCATTGATTTATTTTTCAAATTAATATAGTTATTATAATTCTAAATCTTTGAAACATGCAGACAAGGGATTGAACATTTAAACACTATGGTGAAGCAACTTATTTTGAGCCGGGTCGCCGGCTTGCTTTTACCTCGCTTTTCGTAATTTGAAAATAGGATAGGTACTCACCTGCGAACAATTCCAGCAGCTCTCTACAGGATCCGGTGTTCTGATGGTCAGAAAGATGACACGAAAGACAGCAGAAATATATTTTTCATTAATTAATTTGTAGGAGAGCGGCCAGTCGCGGTCACTCATACTAAGCTCGAAACAGAAGGGGCGATCGGCGCGAGAGGGCAGCACCGACAAAGATCGGACACAAATAGTCCATAGCCCACAGATAACTTCTAAAATTGCGAGCATGCAAAGTACCTATCCCTTATATATAACGAAAAACGAGTAGGCATAAATATTAATACAAATTATGTTTTAATTTCACTAAGTTATAATTTTTAAATTATGTTTTAATAACACTAAGTATGAAAATAAGACGTGTCACAATTGCCTGAGCGTTTTTGGGACGTTTATTAACACTCTCCGCTCCATCTATATGTACAAATGACCAATGGTATTAATTATTAACGAACATTGTCATCTTTAATAGCTTTTTTAGCTTTGAAATCACTAATTCTATACTCCATATAATCGACATATCCATCCTTGTTTAAGTCTGTATGTCTCATCGCATGTTCTAGAACTTCTTCCAGCTGCTGGTCGGTGTACGCTTTGTGATTCTTGTCGACTTTGCCTGAAAATGTCGGATGAAAAAAAATTAATTTTTAAATGAATCTAAACAGTGTCCTCGATTCGTCTGTATGTCTTTTCGTAACTATAAAAAATAAACTTGCCATAAACGGGTGTTCAATACATGTTTAAATGTCATACTACAAAAGCGTGCCTAACATCAATTTATATTTAAACAAAAGAGAGTATATATTATTAAAAAAAAATAAAAAGTATTTAATTAAGTTAATATAATAATCTATATTTAAT